AACAATTTATCGAATAAAATTAGACCTATTTCATATATTTATTGATTAATTAATTTAAATAATATTAAAACTTTTTTTTTAAATAATATTATGGTGTTATAATTTTTTTGTTTAAAATAGATAACCGCGAATATCCGGATATCCGCGAATATCTAGAAAAAATCCGGATATCCGTCATCCCGGATATCCGAAAATTTTCGAAGCAAAGCGAATCAGAATCCGTCAAAAACAAATCGAATCACAAATACTGCATTTTTTTCTGGATATCCGATCCGTGCCCAGGCCTACTAAAATATCTAAAGGTAATAGCAATAACTAATGATGATTGAACAACGAAAATCGTTGTAACGCATCACCAAGTTATATACATGTCTACATATTTTACTAGTTATTTTCTTGGTGTATACAAGGATGTTTACGTCAGTATATATCTTATTCTTACATTGCAACAACAATGCATGAGACTGCTCAATCCTCAAACTGTCTAAACCAGTCGACGATTGTCCTGGAAAGAACTCGAGTTTCGCTCAGAGGAATGGTCTTTAGCGCCTGAGCCACAGCGTCTGCTGGCGTGTACACATACCCAGTTTGCCATTTTGGGTCCTGGAGACACATAATCAAACCCATATTAACAAGATAAATGTTGTTAACTGCAGAACTACTACTACCTCTACAGTTGCTCGTCTTTTACCTGTATGCAAGGTGTGAGATGGTTTCCATTCAGCCGAACCTTTTCAAGTGTACCACCAATAGAATCTATCCGAGGCCTAAGGGTTTCTTCGAGTAAATCAGTCTCGTCGATTGCATCGGAGTTGAATTGTATCTAAGCAAATGTTGCAGCAAACCAAGATCAAATATGAGGATTGCTGGTTCCAATCACAGAGACTGTTCACTTCTATGCTTCCTATCTCAGCTAACACGAATTGCTTATGACTTAAGGGGAACAAACAGTCTCTATGTTTAAGAAATCATCTCAGAAATGGAAATTTTGTCACAAACAGAGTCTAACAATCTCTACTCAAATTCAATGCTGACAGATATGACGGTTTGCTTAGCAGTTGATTCACTCTTCAGTCGACCTAATTCTCCCACATTCTCTATTTCTTTCTATTGGCTTAGTAGTCAAATCCCCAATAAGGGAAACTCTCTGCTTGTAAAGCTTTCCTGGTTTGTTGACAAATAAAATAGCATTTCAACAAACAGACGTTTCTATAACGAGAAATGATGTTTCAGGTAGATGATTATATTAAGTATTTGGTGACTGGAACGTCACATGTATTCTCGACTAGAACAGGCTCAATCTAAACCTCGTAATATATTTAATTCTTTAAGCTCATATAACTCTAATGAACCTGTGTGCTTATTACCAGTAGAGTGTGTGGAACGCTGTAGGAGCACTTAAAGCAATTGCGATTCTCAAGTGGAGACGGTCTGAATTCCGACACCCCTTGTCCAACCTTCATAGAACAAGAGACAAAGAACGACAAGTTCAATTTCTTTTATGGTTTGGTCAATTAGAAAGGAAGCAACATAATCTCAATCTTCGATACTAAGTCAAGAATCCCTTGTTGAAGAAATACCTCACCAAATACTGAGGGCAATTGATCCACCAGTTTAGTAAGAGACTTGAGAGCTTCTTGATCGTTGCTTAGAATTGTTGCCCCAGCTGTATCAAGTAAAGCTTTCACCACATCACCTGTAAGTGAGAACAAGTGCAAGATATTATGAACGGGGTCCTTTGATTGCCAAGAAATACAAAAGTTTTTTTGGTGCATAGGTGTGATAAAAAAACTCCAAGGCATAGATGTCTTCCAGTCTCAGGTGACATGAAATTATATACCTGGATAAATTAAGACACTTTTTAAGTCGAAAAGGGTTAAAGATGGATGAAACAGGACAATATGAACATTAACTAGAGGAGTTCTCTTTTTCTTTACTAATATTCAATAGAAAAAAGCCTGAAAACATTGTTTTGAGCACTAGTTAAATAGATTAATTGAAAGAACATCTGAATTAGAATTTTGTAGTGTTAAGTAGTAACACCTGAAGCGTTTCGAGCCATTTCATATACTGGAGAAGCTTCCACAACGGGAATCATCTGCTGGATGAGAGGACCAAGCTGCAAAGGAACATAAGCAATATAAGACACAAGCAAAAATTGTTGGCGAGCCGATTTGCAAACTACAGGATCAGATTGGCTTTCATATTATTGAAGAATCATTTCAACTCAGGAAGCATTAGATAGCAACAAAATATCAAACATGAGTCAAAGTTGTGAAGATAATAATAATAATCTCAGTCCCAAGTTCTGGCAAATAAGAACGTTGAGCTATATATAAATGACTGTCAGCACAAAGCCCATATAATCCTGCTCTATTGTAGCCTTGATTCTGACAAATAAGGAAGATAAATAAGGCGGCTTGCATTAGCTAACCCTGAGATCTCTATCAGAATCATATAATGAGGTTTAAATAGGTCAACGTACAAGAACAATGACAAGGGAAATAGATACTAAATCAAGCAAAGCTTAAGAGACTAATCATAAGTCATAACCAATGATAATTTACCTGCTCAAAATATGGAACTGCCTCTGTCGCTGATTTATTGTTGAATGAAATGATGGCATTAACCTTTCAAAAGAGAAATTTTTTTTTGTCACACTTGCTTAGATTTAAGACAGAAAGGGTTATACATCACTGAAGCATTCTTGCCCGGAAAATAATACACAAAGACATTGTTGGTGAACTACTCTTGCTGGTATTTCCATTTGAGTTCACAAGAAACCTAAACTAACCGTTGGTATCTTGTCAGCAAAATAACTTGCAGTCAAAACCTGGAGCAGCGCACCATTACTGTATAAAATTGAAACATGGACAGTAGTGAGCAGCATTCAGGAGACAGAGAATGAGCAAACAAAAAGGTATAAAAGAGGAGGTTGGTATGGTACGTTAATCAATGAGTGAAAAGAGTCCTGACCTGTGACCAACTGAGAAAAGAGGGAGGTGAGCTAGATCCTGAGGGTTGAGATTTGCAGTTGGAATTCCAGAAGAGAGAATCATGTCCAAGCAGGAATTGAACCTCTCATAAACCTGTTTAGCAGCTTGTTCATGATCAAATGTAACATTGTATGGCACAGATACTATCAAATAGCCTTGTTTTGCTAGGAGCTCCTTGAGGTAACTACAAGGACACAAAAGGAAGAAGAATATTTTGAGCTTCAGAATCAATCCTCATGCAATTTGCCATATAAAAATCTATGATTGGCTCTGGTCATCAAATGCATAACTATTCTACAGAAAAATAGAAGCATAAAAATTGAAGCGATATTCCTAAACTAGCTGATATGGCTTTAGATGATTGAGTCTTCCGATTCCCATCAACATGTAAACCCAGAATCATGAATCAACAAGGGCTAATCGGAGCAACAGAACAAGTACCTGTAGGTGAGTTCAGGTACAGCTCCGACGAAGGCACCTCCCAAGAACTTAACAATGGCACGCGGTTTCTTGAATCTGGGAGGAGGAGGAATCACCAGACAAGAATCAAGCCTCGTGTAAATCTTATCGTTTCGGCGACTGTAAGAGCCACTCGCAGTGACGGTAAGTGGCACGGTTCGACCCTGTCTGCGAAACTGAGTGGCGGGAATCACTTGGTTACCCAGAAAACTCCTAGCACCACCACCTAAGGCAAACTCCATTCAAGCAAGCAGCCTGGAACCTCAGGGATTTCCGTAAAAAAATTATATTCAGTTTTTTCCACTCAACTTAAAAATATATATATATTTTACCAAACACAAAAAAAAAACTTAAAAATATATAGTGTATGTTTTTTTTCTTTTCCTTTAATTCAGCCATATTGCTGCTTTATTTTGATTTGATTTTTCCATTTTCATCATCTCTAATATATTCTTTTAAATATGAAGTAAAAAATATTATGTAACAGCCTTAAAGCGGTTTTAAAGGGGTTGATTACAAAGATAACCTCTTAAAAAACTTCCTAATTACCTTTCTTACCATCGTTTTTTTGGACTAATATACCCTTATGAATCCAACGAAAATTTTAGGGTTAAAACAATTTTTTATGTGGCCCATGAGCCAAAATCGATTACAAAAACCCCATCAACTGGTTCTAAATTTTCTTATATATATAAAATATTTGATGTTCATGATCTAAACCCCATCAATATGTATTATATTTTCGATTATTAGTTTATTGAGAGATTATGATCAAAAGAATATTCTTGCAGTTTTTATATTTTTCTAATCGATGTATGAGCAACGTGTATTTTGTTTTCCTATATTTCGTGTATATAGTCTTTGATCTACTATTCTTCTTCTTCTTGCTATTGTAAGGACTCTTCTTTCTTTGTTTTATATATTTTATATATTTCAAGCGTCTTTTTAATGACAACTTGACGATGATGTTCTGCTTTATTTCTTGAATCACTTAGCATCCATGGTGAAACCCGGCAGTGAATGAGCCAAAGATTTTGAGATTTCTTCAAGTTTGACAAAACCAAATAGTATGCGTCTGAAAACTTATTGTAAAGGTAATAAAACTACATGTTCTTTTGAGTTTTTGCATCATTAGTAATCAATAATGTACATAAAGGGTTCGGTTAATACTATATGGCATAATTATATATATGGCCAGTGATGTGTAACAATATTTGAGTTATTGAAGGTTTTCCTTCTTGCAAGATTCGAGTAGCAGCCAACGGCGACGAGTGTCTCATTAATAGCAAAAAAATCTTGCAAGCATGAGGTCAGTTGCATAAAAAGAAAACGGTGAGTCAATTGAGTTATTTATAGGCAATTAGAGAACTATAATTATGGATATTCACTTTGATTATTTACTCTTTACATGTCCAGATACGTAAGTTTTCATCAAGATTCCCGAAAATCCCATAATCTTTGCAAGTCACCGCTATGTTTGAGATCGAATGTTCTCTTCTATGAGCCACCTGGTTGTGAGAAGACTCACATAGCGTATTCCCTACGGTCTGCGTCAGTGAAGGGGCCATGAGCTATAACCAAATATCGGTTCTTCTCCATATTATGTAAGAATAACACCTTTCTTTGATTATCATGCTTTTCAAATCTTCAGAAGTGCTTGCTTGCCTTTCTCTATACTATTGAGTTTATTTTGACTTTCACGGATTTCTTGCAGTTTCGTTTAGTTCATTAAAAATAGAATGGTTTAGAAACCTCAGTGAAAAAATAGATCTACAAAAGAGTGTCCCATATCACATAACAACAAACACACTCTTCTCTCAGGTCTGTGATATATTATCACAAGCCAAGCCGCTCCGCAACACTATGCCTAATTCTTTTTGATGAATTCAAGTAAGTTACTCCCAGAAGAGGACATGACAACGTAATGTGCATCTTTAAATTCTATTAATCAAGTAAGTTTCTTCATAGTCCAATTGACAGTGCTTAGTAAAAATTAATGTCTCTTTTTTCTTTGTTCATGTGAATTTCTTGGCTTGACTCAAAGACCAATTGCCGATTGTTTTTATTTGTTTTAATGAAACTTAAATCTATTTCCATAATATTTTACTCAAACACATGAACATGATCGAATTTTTTGGCAGGTCGTCTAAGTTCTTGACTTTTGTAGGTTAGGGTTCTTAATTGAGTTAGGTCGTCATAAAACGATGGCCAAAGAAAATAAAAAGTTGATGAGAAGCTTTATCTCTCATGGATGCTACTTTGTACCAGTTTTAATTATTATATCGTGTTTTCTGTTTTGGTTGTAGGCCTTTGTTTGTTCTACTTTACTAACATGCATCTTATGGTTCGTTTGTATATTTGTTTAATGCATTTTTGTATATTATCTTTTTAATATTTTGCAGATCTAATATTTAGTTGTTTTTTAATGGTCTTCTTCTATCACATGATGTCCAGATTTATTACGTCTATGATCGAATGGCTCGATGAATGTGTTTTTCGATGGTGCATTTTAAAAAAATCTGCGTTTGGTATTTCAAATTTCAATCATGATCAGTTTAGCAAAAAAAAAAAAAAATTCAATCATGATTTTATTATGTTGCATTTTTGTTTATTTATTTTTAGAATATAATTATTTGGTCATTTTATACGTGTTTTATATTTTCATTTTAAATAATTGAAGTACACGTCTATATTTTTATGGTGAAAACTATTTGCTTTTATGTATGGAGTTATTTCCGTGAAATCTAAATTTATGTTCAGTTGCATGTTCCGATGATTGTATCAAGTAAACCACTTAATAGTTTATTAATTTAATTTGAAACGAGCTTTCCGGTATGTTTTCGGATATTATAGTTTGATATATTC